ACAAATCAATGCCGCATGATAAGGAAGATGGGAAACTGGACAATGATCCAGTTCATAATGAGCCCATTAAAGTCGGTTCCCATGGTGAGGGACCAGATAAGGGAGAAGAGAATAATGCATCCGATGCCAACTTTCCAAAGGATGCGGTTGATGAGTGGCCTGCACCTAAGCAGATCCACTCTTTTTATTTTGTCAGGTATCGCCCTTATGACGATCCAAAGATAAAAGCCAAAATTGATCAGGCTGATAGAGAGATGCAAAAGTGGAATAAGGCCAGGTTTCAGCTTACTGATGAATTAAAAGCAAAGAGGGTGAGTGAAAACCTATTAATTTCGATTAGATGTATAGCATTATTGATGTTGTGTAACTAGCTCAATAAAGGCGTCATGTCATCTAGTACTTGTCATATATGATATCCTGTTTATTAACCATTAGTTCTCGTACTTTGAAGATGTTTGTTTGCCCTATTCTCTTTTGCTTTTCATTGGTTCCTATAGATTAAGTGACATTAATTTTGTGACAAGCCTTTAGAACTTGTTTGAATGCAATTGGACGTGCTTATGGTAATATGGTGAATGTAGAGGCATTAAACCTGGATGCATTTATCTTAATGTTGGAAAGTTAAGTCCTCCTGAGCATGTAATAACAATTACAAATATTTACATAAGGTGTAGAATATTATGGTATGTTGTTTCCTTATTGTTGTATATGCCTCAAAATGCTAAGCCAAATTGTGGAAGAAGTTTAAAAATTACTATGCTGCCAGCTAGCCCTAATCTCAATTAATTTTGAAGTATTATCTTTATGTTATTGCAGTCAGATCGATCAGAGTTGCTTTCTCAAGTGAAATCCCTTAACATTGATTTTGAGCAATTTAAGGCGATTTTAGATGAGAAAAAGAAGGAAATGGAACCACTGCAACAGGCTTTAGGCAAGCTTCGCAATAATAACACTGCTGGTGGTCGTGGTGGTATATGTTCATCTGAGGAAGAGCTTAATGATATTGTATGATACTACTGTAAACTTTGACTGCATTGAGATTTGTCAATTGTTTCTGCTGCAGTTAATCCTTTGCTTTTATCTTTTAGTCACTTCTTGGAAATTGATAAATTGTAGATCCGTAGCTTGCAATACCGCATTCAGCATGAAAGCATCCCATTGACTGAGGAGAAGCAACTCCTTAGAGAAATCAAACAATTAGAGGGAACCAGGGAAAAAGTTATTGCTAATGCTGCAATGAGAGCAAAGATTCAGGATTCATTGGGTCAGAAAGAAGCCATTCAAGATCAGGTTAAAGTAAGAAAATTCTATTTTGCTCCTTTTATCTATCAGAATTTGCGTTTCTCTTCCCTGTATTCATATAGATTGTCATCATACTACACTAATAAAGTTGCTATATTGGTTTTATTGTAGCTTATGGGTGTTGATTTGGATGGAGTAAGGAAGGAACAGCAAGCAGTCTGGTCCAATAAAAATCAAATTAAAGAGAAAGTGAAGGCAATAGAGAGTAAAATTGACTCTTTACAGGAGGAGCTGACAGCTGTGACCCAGAAAAGGGACAAAGCTTATGAAACCATTCAGGAACTGAGGAAGCAACGGGATGAGGGGGTGCGTCTTTTCTTTGCTTCAAACTTTAAGATTTCTGTTTCATATACATACATGACCACATCCAAACATTCATTTCTGCATGAAGATACTCTGACAAGATGTCTACTTTTTATTCAGTTTCCTTGCCACTTTTTTATACCATTTCTCTTTTTTTCTCTCTGCACGGATGTGCATATATAGATGCAAGTATAAATGCATTTCTCTTGCATTGAGATTTGGTAGTTCTTCTTGGCCTTGCCTATGAATGTATTGACTAACTTTAATATTTCTTTTTTGTCTCCTTTTTGAGGCTGTTGTGATCATGATTGTGATAATGTTTATTTTTTTTTATGCAAAATGCACCAGAAGAGATTGCAAGCATATGCACACTGACACGCATACACACATGCACATAAATGTCTTACAGTGTATATGACATTTGTTGCCTTTATGTTTTGAAAACAGCTTGCTGGTGTCACTGGTGTAGATATTTTGCAGTGTACAAGTTACATAAGGAAAAGCAATGTGAATTTTTGTGTGATTGAGTTGGTTTTAACAAAGTTACAGTTTGTGATTTCGAGGCTTGAGTTTGAATATTTGGGGTAAGGTTATGAAGAGGGGATTTTAGTATCATAAATTTATTGGCACGTTATTCATCAGTGCAATAAGCTATTGTTTTATACTATGATGGAACTCTTAGGTTCATAAGGATATGAACCTATTCTATATCCATATTTGTGTTCGCTATGTGAATAAGTCAAAGATTACTATAAAACTCCATTTTTATGGGATTGCTACCCGTAATGAGTAATGACCCCTTATGTTGGTCCAATGCACAAGGACAAGGGAGGGCTCTGGGAAACAGTGGTTGAGGAAGCATAGTAACAAAATAACCTTATTATAATGCTTATGTATATAGAAGTAGAAATCCTTTTCAAATGCTTCTTTGATCTCATGTTTCATTGTAGATTGATAAAATTTTTTGAGCAAAATCCTTGGATTAGTTAGCTTTTATGTGGTTTTGCCATTGTACTTTTCATTGTGTTTAGGACCATTTCAACGTCAAGTAACACATGTTATCTCAGTTAATTTCCGAACTTTTAGCAGGCTAATACTAATGACTCATTTTAATTACTATTATTTTTCAAACTTTCAGAATGCTCACTTTTACCAGAGCCGTTCACTCATAAACAAAGCCAAAGAGCTTGCTGCAAAGAAAGATATAAAGGCTCTTGAGGAGCTTTCAGCTGCAGAGGTTTGTTGAAACTGCAGATTAATGTTACATCCAGTGTATCTCACGTCATGTGTTTTAGTATTTGGCTGCTTTCTCATCTTTTACGTTGTTTTTAGGTTGAGAAGTTTATGGCTCTCTGGAGTGGCAAGAAAGCCTTCAGGGACGATTATGAGAAAAGAATTCTCTCATCCCTGGACAGTCGGCAATTGAGTAGGGATGGCCGGATAAGGAATCCTGATGAGAAACCACTGGTTGTACCAGAGGCACCGGTGCCTTCTGAAACTGAAACGATTCAGAAACCTAGTGTAAGACAGCCAAAGGAAGAAGCCAAATCCTCTCCCCAACCAGATATTAAACCAACCAAAAAGGTCCAGAAAGATGGTGAGACCAAAGTAGTGGAGTCAAAATCCTCTCCAGAGAATGGTGTTGTAGCAGAGAAAGAGATCTCTGGATTAAGCAAGTTGCAAAAGGACACTTCTGCAGACAAGGAAGTTGATGAAGCAAAACTGAAAGAAATGAAGAGGGAAGAGGAAATAGCAAAACAAAAGCAAGCCATGGAAAGGAAGAAGAAGTTGGCTGAGAAAGCAGCAGCCAAAGCAGCTATAAGAGCTCAAAAGGATGCCGAAAAGAAGCTCAAGGAAATTATTTCCTTCTTTATCTTGTTTTGCTTCTTGATAATTAGGTTTTGGGTTGAAACTGAAATTCTTTTGCTTTTTCATTTTTCAGGAGCGTGAAAAGAAAGCAAAGAAGAAGGCTGCTGCAAATCCTGACGAGCCAACTGAAGCTGAGGCAGATGCTTCTGAACCAGAAAAGGTTGATGTTAATGCTGATGAACCTGTTCCTGCTCCTGTTTCAGTGAAGGATAAGGTACAAAAGGAGAATACCGTTAGGTATAGAAATCGAACTAAAGGACCTGAGTCGCTTCCAAGGGCGATCCTGAAACGTAAGAAGTCGACCAACTACTGGATATGGGCTGCTCCTGCTGCATTGGTGCTGCTGATACTTCTAGCGTTGGGTTACTATTATCTTGTCTGAAGAAGTTAACCCGAGTGGAACTGAGAGTCATGGACAACTTTTTTGGTTGATCAACATGCGAGTAGCTAGATCCATAGTTGGAAAATTTAGTTAATTTTGTTCTTTGCATCCCATGAGGCCAAACCTATGTACTTATTATTTGGTTGGTTGTATTTTTTAAATTTTGACTTCCATCAATTTCAGAATGTCATGAGAAGCCTTATACAGAATTAATGACCTTGTAGCATTTCAGTAATTGAGATAGATCCTAGATGAATAAAGTGGATGAAGCTGAACTTGGTTGGAGGGATTTTTTGGCCTGGGAGATTGCAGTAGATAGAAATCTAAGTGTTCAATGAGAAGGTTGTTAATTTTCTTCATTTGGTCTATCCTTAAGGTTGTTAAGAAGCCGAGTATCAGTATGGTGATCAAAGCTTTGCCACACTATGATTGAAGTGTTTGAACTATTTCTCAAAACAAGATTTCCCCTATTCTCAAGAACTGCAACAGTGAAATTCGTGGAGTTTGATGATGATTCAATTGACCAAAGTGGGATTTTAGATTGATTGAAGAGAACAAGGTTACCCATTTAGTCAGAAAGTTGAAGGATCAAGAAATGGCTCATCTCTGTTAGCCACCCAGACCACAGTTTGAACTGGTAGTTCCTGTACCAGCTGCCTACGTAGTGTTGGGTGGAGCTACCTGACCTAAAGAAACCAAGTTCAAACCTTCCATGTCCTGGGTCATCCTTAAGTTGCAACTCAACAGCGCTTTTCTCCGAGAACTTTCCAACCTCTTTTTCAAAGCTCTAATAGAATTTGGATTGTGTGGACGTGTTAAACAGGATTATCCCGGCAAAATTCTAATTTGGTTAAATTAATCGAGTTGAATTAAATTTTAATTGAGTTTTTGAATGAATTAAATTTTAAATTAATAAAAAAAATTTTCATTGCATGATAATATCATTTTTGACTAAATATTTAAAAATTTAATCATAAAATGTAACTATGACATGACGTTAAAGATCCTTAAATCTTATATATTTTTATGTATTTAATATAATTTCTGTCCAATGCATTGTTTAAAATATTGTTTTAATTAATTATATAATTTAAACAATTTAACTAGTATAATATAGTATTTTAATTTTTGGCCGAAAGTTACAGTTGTTAGAGTTTAGACTAATATTTTATACTTCTTTTCTAAACGGAAAACGAACAAAGCGACTATGTCCGCCGCCAGCGTCACAGCACCATGGCTTCTCCGAAGAGCATTTCAAGCTTTGGCTTTCTCTCAGCCTCTTTACCCCATCAACAAAAAGCTTTCTTTCTATGGAAATCCCTGCTCTTTCCCCGTTCAAAATCCTCTGAGAAGTTTAGGTTTTCAAATGAATTCATATATATATATATATATTTGGCTCTAGTTTCCTAGCTGATTATGTTATGAGTTTGCTTCATTTGGATTGGTTTTGTTGTAATATCTGTATAAATAGAGATATCCATTGAGCTGAAGTAGAAGAAATTACTGCTTTTTGTTTGTTTTGAAGTAATCTTGTTTAATCAGAGATGCCCTTTATGCAAAAGGAGAAGAATTTGAAAATTTTTGTGTTAGTTTTGAGGTAATAGAGATTCCCATTAAGCCAAAGTAGAAGACTTTGCCTTTTTTAGGGTTAGTTTTGAGGTAATAGGAATTCCCATTAAGCCAAAGTAAGCTTGTGTAATTAAAGATAACCGTTAAGCTAAAAGAGAAGAATTTGAAAAAACCTTTTTGTTAGTTTTGTAGTAATCTTGGTGTAATTAGAGATTCCCATTAAGCTGCATTAGAAGAATCTGATGAGCACATTTGTGAAAAGAAAAGTGGGGAAGTAACTGAAGCTAGGAAGGATAACAATATTCTTGTACAAATAAACTTATAAGTCAGTGATTTCAATCTTATTAGAAAATTTGTTTCTTTTTTCTTGAAAGGTTTATTTAGAAATTTTATAGGTTTATGTTAAGGATTCAGTCTGGCAATGAAGTATGCGTTTCTATTTGTTCCTCTATATACACATTGGCGTGAAAATTTCCAATTATTGCTGAAATACCATTCATAGTTTTGAAGTAAGAATACCTGGCTGTGAGCCTCATCCAAAGACCATAATATTTTGCCTCTTGTACCATCGAGCTTGGGAATTGTTAATGGAGGCACACCTATGTGGTTAGGAGTGCTTTGGTCAAAAGCCTTATTATTATTCCTAGAACTACATTGTATAGAAGGCAACTTATAGTAGTTGCTTGCTTAGAATTTACCACTTTATCAGGAAGTTATTGCATATTAATTTGCAATATCCAATATTGACGATGGCTGCTGCAACTTTTCCTTTAGCATTGGTAGTCAGCCATTGGATTAAATTGTGCAGGACCTGCCTTTATTACTTTTTCTGTTGTTTCTGCAGTTACTTTTTTCGATAAGTGGAATGTATAGCATACATGATGTGAAATTTGAATTTTTATTATTTTAACATCCTATTTAAAATTTTAATGAATGCATATTCAGGGTTATGTCACATTGCCCAAGTTATAAAGGGGGATAATGATGTTTTACTTAGAGGAGTCGGAGATAAAAGTGCTATTGAAGAAGTGAAACATATTCTTGAAATGGTATTCTCATTACCCTTTCGCCAATCTTTCTATAGTACCCTACTCTTTTGTGTTTGGTCCTTGTCTTTAGTACCTAGTCAAATCCATTTCTCTAATCAATTTTCTTTGCTTAGGGAGGACAGAAGTTTAATAATTTTGTGGCAATTGAAATATAAGGTCTATCTATCTTTAACTAGTAAAAATGCTAATAATTTCTATCTGTTTAACCTCTCATCTATTTGGATTTCATTTATGTTCTTCTAGGCTAGACGAGCAGCAACAAGAAGAGAGGTCCTCCATACAGATTTTCTAACCCCACCAGTATTAAAGGAGTCAATGCAAGTTTTGGAAAAACTTTCAGATGTTAAAGTGATTGCTCAGGGTGGATATGCTCAGGTTGAACTAAATGAGATTCAGTTTACATCTCCTTGGTTGATTTCTTTGGTTATACAAGTTGATGAATCTTTCTGATCCTTTAGGCTGAGCGTTGCCGTATTTCTATTGGACATTCAGAATCAGAAGTATTGACTAGTGATCCTGATGTAGTTGCAGCATTAAAGTAATATTCTTCCTTGTCAAAAGCTGGTTGATGCTGGATGGTATTTGAAACCTGAATGAAAATTTCTGAATATTTGCTTTTTTTCTTTCTCAGTATCACAGGAAACTTCAGCTTTCGACCTTGTTCTCATGGTGATTTCCTTGGTGCAATTCTTGGTAAGGGTATTGCTAGAGAGAAGCTTGGAGATATTATCTTGCAGGTATCTTCTTTTTTTATTCACATGTTCAGCTACTGACTGGGCCGTTTGAAATTTGGTTTTACTATGAAGAACCACCAGTTTAGTTTCTTTCATTAAGATCCTTTATAACCTGATTTAAAAGACCTGCCGGGCTACTTAACCACAATATTAAAAAGAAGCTTTCTCTGCATCTAATGTTGAACCAGGCTAACCTATGTGTTTTTTTTCTTTTCCATTTAAGTCAGGATAACCTATGTTAATTGTTATCTAGGGAGAAAACGGAGCTCATATTCTGATTGTTCCAGAACTTGTTGACTTTCTTATGTCGACACTGGACAAGGTGATTTTTTGCCCTCAAATACATTAAATATCTGTTGATATGACCTTTGTCAATGATCACAATCATTTTACGTCTTTTTGACTTTATAGGGTACCAGTAATGAGCAATATTTATGGCATTCTTTTATTACATTAGCTTTGTATTGGAATTTTTATTTCGGAACACTGATAGTATCACATTTAAAATAATGGACCTTCTGTCACCATGGTGTGATACTTTTGTGGTAAATAATTCTGTTATTCTCTTAACTGTTTTAATGTCATGGTTATGAAGTCCCTAAAGGTATGAGAAAATCTTGCATGAAAAAATTCTGACAGTCTGATCTGTTTTATGGAAAGCTAAGTGGACAGGAAACTATATTACAATGAACGTGATTGATGTGCTGTCATTATCATTCTCCTTAACACTCTTGATATATTTCTATATCAGCACTTTTTCTAATGTATGTATCTTTTGCAGGTGGCTAATGTATCAGTATCATGCACACAGATACCTCTGCATGCACTTGAATATGAGCCACCAAGGTTGCAATCACTCGTGGTGTTCATCCGTTTTCATTTCAATCTTGTGGCACTTATCATGAGGTATCTGTCAATGACTTCTTGTTGTTTTTGCAGGACACAGTCATTCAAAACCACAGAAGCATCGCTACGGGTTGATGCTCTAGCTAGTGCAGGGTTTAAGATTTCAAGATCTAAACTAGTTAATTTGATCAGGTGTACTTTTGTGCTTCCCATACGAAAACTATCTACTGCTATGTTTGTTTTCTTCATTTCTTTGCTACATGTTCTAATGACCTCCTACGCTTTCAATTCCCAATTCCATTGCATGGTGTTAAAATCCTTTTCGCATTCTTCTCTTGGTCCAATGGGTCTATCTTTGTGGAATCATCTTACCCATCTTCTGTGGTTGCACCTATCCTTAAAATGCTTACTCCTTGTTGGAAAAATGACATTCTCTGTGGTTCGTATCACATGACTATAATACTTTCATAAGCCCTCCCGGGCAGTGACACCTGATAATCATCTTTGAGGTGAAATCTCTGCTGAGCTCTACTGGCTAATTTGGTTATATTGACTCAGCCACAGGTTGTAAATTTATTTTGTCCTTTTTTTTTTCGATTGACTACATTATTTTGAAGAGGCAAATTTTATCATCTATTGCCTCTAAAATACTGTACTTTGTAAATTATTCAAATAGGAATGGTCATTTGAATTGAATTGTGGCATTTTTGCACAATGAACAAAAGATTACTCGTGAGTTATCCGTTTTTCTGTTTTTTTTCTTCTTGTAGTAGTGGAGATCTTCGCATAAATTGGAAAACTGTTACAAAAAGTGGAACAATTCTCAAGACTGGAGATATTGTCTCTGTTAGTGGGAAAGGAAGACTAAAGGTGAATTATCAGTTTAATGAAATCCTGCTGTCCAGTAAAAGTTCCTCTATTTCTTAGTTTAGCATTCTGATAATTATTGTTTTCTTTGACCAGATTGGAGAAATAAACACTACAAGGAAGGGAAGGTTTGCTGTTGAACTCATTCGGTATTTGTAGGCTTCGGCACAAGGAATTGTCTAATGATCGTTTGAGTTATACCAGTTGCCGACGTATTGTTCCCATTAAACCGGGGGAATTTTCAGATATCGGAAGCCAAACGAGGATATTTGTGTGATGAAGGAAGAAGGAATCTTACTTGCAAGCTTCCATTTCAACATTCGGGGAATGAAAAAGGTCTGTTTAATCAATTCTTATACTGAATATTACATTTAACTTTTGATTATTACATAGGGGAGTGCGGATTTGCATTTGAGACTTTGTGCTTTGTTTTTTGGTATTTGAGGTAAGATGTGGCTACCATTATTTGAATAGTGAAAAGGGAAAAAGACAACTAAATCATGGTTGATAATTAAGTTATGAGGAAAAGACAACATATAAGCAAATGCTTAGGGTTTTGGTCTGGGTTTTAGTCCAGCAATTTTTCCTTTGCGGAAGAAACATTGCCATAATAATCACCTGTGTAATTGTATTGTAATTATTTTTTTGGTACAAAGTAGGCAGTAACCTGGGTATAGGGAAAGTGGGGTTGATAACGGTTTAGATTAGATTCGGTTTGGTGTTTCAGATATTGTTGGATATTATGAAAATTTAAAATTTGATCTGAATAACCGAATTTTATAGGTTCGATTCGGTTTAGTTTATCGATTTTTAATTTTTATATATTATTTTAATATAAAATTTTAATATATTTAAGTAGATTTAGATATAAAATTATTATTTTTATTTTATAAAAATTTAAAATATATATAAAATTTAAGAAAAATATATGATTCGATTCGATTTTTTTTTTAATTTTTTATCTTTCAGTTCAAAATTTGATATGAATTTAATTTATACATTTAATATATGAATTTGATCTGAATCGAATGAGAAAAAAATTAATATGAACCAAATTGAATATTACGGTTTCGAATTGATTTTCAAATTTTTTGATTTTTTTTTTTTTTCATCCTTGTGAAAGGGATTGCAGGTCTCCGAATGCATAATTGAATGCGTCAATCGATATGATGTGTGTTTGCATTTAGAAAAATCTCAAATGTAAACGAATGAAACTGGCAGGTTTTGAATCTTGATCTTTGAACTCAATCATTTATCACTTTACCAACAGATCATGTGATTCGTAGGCAACAATGCATGTATAGTTATTGTTTTAACAAAAACACGCATGGTTCTTTTTCCTCCTTTTTCCCACCTCAACAGTTCCTGAGCCAGTGGCTCACTGTTACTACGCATGTAGAGTTCATGCATAAGGGAAGGTACATAACCATGGATCATGGCCCAAGGAACATATTAACCGAATAAAATGAGGATTTATTACACGAAAAATCCATGATCTGAAAAACTTTTCATAACTCTTTGGATTTATGTATCATAAAAAAGTGTAAAAAATAAAAGTTTGAAAATGAAACAGAAAAATATTGCAAAGTAGGGCCCACTTAAATGGAGTTTCATACAGTGTGATGTCTTAGATGATACTCATGATGATTATGATTAGGTTTCTTGACTTTACAAGAAACACATAAGGAACATTAAAATAAAATAAAGACAGCTATAATGTCTGCATTGTATGAAACTATTCATGAACCTTGTAACATGATTTATATGTGGTCCCCTTCCTCTTTTGTCTCCAATGTCCCTAATGGAAGAGACCTGTTCTAATTGGATTAAATTATATATTAGACCATCTTTTAAGGTTAGTCATTTAAATTTTTGATATTTTATTATAATCAATCAAATTTTAAAAATTTATTTTGAATTAATTAAATTTTAAATATTTATTTTCACTTCAATTGAGTTTTCGATTAAACGAAAACAATAACAATAAATTTAGTGTCTCTTTTGAACTTTTCTGAAAATATAGATTTTCATCTTGAAAGATGTTTATACTTGGCTTTGGAGGAGGAAAGTGTACATTTTGAAAAAAAAATGGTGAAACTAGAAATTTACTTTATTTCCATGGGCTTTTTGCATTTAACCCAAGATTTTTAGCATAAAGTTTCTTAGAACTAGCTGGATACCATTTAGGGTGTCTTTTTTTATACAAAAGAATTTTTATAAGGGTTGAAATTTAAATTTTAAATTTAATAAATGTTAATTTTTAAGGATAATTGTATCAATCAATTAAATTAATTTTAAATTCGAAGAGTTGTCCTTTTCTATATTTTTTTTTTGCGGACTTTGTGCATTGATGCAGTCATCTAAACAAAAACATTTGGTTAGTGCTTCGATCAAGTGAATTTGTTTAACAATATTTTAAAAAGGAAGTTTGGTCCAAAATTTGACTTGAAAATTATATGATTGAAAACCAACCTTCCTATTTCATTAAACAAGATAGAATAAAAACGAAAATTTCCTTAAATCTTGTTTCCTAAGTGAAAGTAACTCATGTCATTGTTGAAAGAAACTATCCAACAAAGATATTTCTTTGGCAAATATCATTGCTCTAACAACTCATTGATGATAAATAAATTTGATAATTCATGTATTATATTTGTTTTTTTCGTATTTAATACGTGTAAAATATAAAAATTATTATATAATAATTTGTATTGATACAAAATAAATTTTTTTATTTTTATCAAATTCATTTATAATTTTAGTTAAAATTTTAAATTATATATATTTTATTATTTTTATATCACGTCACCTTATCATGTTTAAGATTACAATTTGCATGAAATAAAACTATTCGATTAGAACAGAAAATGGAGTTGACGTCATAATAATACAATTGAAAATTTAATCTCTTGGTAACAACAGGTGGAAAATTATGAAATACGACATCATTGAGCAAGTGGAAATTTACTAGAAGAAAAAAAAAATGCTTTTTTGTTGGTTTTTTTTTTTTTTTTTGTTTCTCTTTCTCAAGAGCTATTGATGATAAACCTGTTATTGAGTGATTCAAAGAAAGCAAAAATGGTGTAGGGCCATGCAGCTTTGACTTACAACAATATAAGTCTTAAATGGACAAATTCTCTCAATTTTTTTATCCTTTTGTAATCAACCAATGGAAAGGACACAAAAGTCAAGGTCCCCCCGCCTTCACTTTCTCAATCAAAATGTTTGTATTTTGTAGATCTAACCAAAGCACTCACCAACCACGAAATTTTCTTCCCTTAGTTCTCTTCAAAGTTCAAACCCTATTTTTTTTTTTTTGCTATCAAAATTGAAATTGTCTTTCCTTTAATCTTGTATCATAATCATCAACATATTCTTTGTAATTTTCACATATGAATATTTAATATTATCCTCTATTTATTTTTTTTTGCTATCAAAATTAAAATTGTCTTTCTTTTAATCTTGTATCATCATCATCATCAACATATTCTTTGTAATTTTCACATATGAATATTTAATATTATCATTTTGTTGAATGATTTGCATTGAACTCTAACCCTTTACTTAGATTATATAAATAGCATATCACTTTCTAGATTAAAAAAAATGCTCAATTCAATAAGTGGTTTTGAGAGTGGTAATATACAAATTTCTGCTTCAAAATTTTGAATGAATATTATATATATGCCTTTAGTTTTATTTTTGAAATGCCTTCGTTCCTTCCATTAGCATTTCAAACACCTATGTTGCTCCAACATATTTGAATTTTTTTTTAATAAAAGAAACCGTAATTTAGGGTTAAGAGAAAGAATTATAAGTATTAAGATTTGAACTCTAAGTTTATTGAATATCATCTCTTAATGATAGTTGCATAAACTAGTTAAACTAAGATTTAAAGTTTTTTTGGTCAATTAAGTTTTGGATTCAACATATTGAACTTTAACATAATTTTATATTATTATTTTTTTAAAAATAACATGTGTCAATCTCTTAAGTACTCCATACGTGTAATTAAAAAAATATATTGACAGCTTATCAAATATTAAATCTTATTAAAAATCATAAAAACTTAATTATATATATTAAAGTCAAATTTTTTCATAAACTACATTTAAATAAAATTAAAATATCTAATTTTGGACAAAACATAATAATATTTTTGTAATATTAAAAGTAGAATCATTGGACATTATGTGGCAAATCTAAAATAGTCATAATCTTTCATCACAAGTGCGAGTATACACACACACATATATATATATATATATATATATATATAAACTTTACCAGTAATTCTCTAAAATTGGAAATTTTTTTTTTTATTATTAAGATAAGAATGCAACAAAATAAGACAAGAAAGTAAAACATTTTTCCTAAACTCACGAACATATAGTATTTAATTGCTAGGCAAAACCATTTCTTTATGTCATAATAATCAAGTTAATACCAACAGTTGATTAATGAATCGGAATAGTTAATTTATATAATTATTTTTAAAAGATAATATTTAATAAATTTAAAATTTAAAATTTCAATATCTATAATTTTTTTCTCTATTATGAGGTTGTAGATTATAAAAAATTGATTAAGTAATATAATTATACTACGAAATACATTGTGATTTGTCATTTTTTTTTACTATTTTCTTTATAAAAAATTGGTTTGGAATTTAAATGGCCGGCTTCTTAGCTCAAAGATGAAGCTAAAAACATTGGCTTGACTTTGAGTCTGACGGTGAGAGACAAGAAGACAGAGTTTGGCGATCCCAACAAAGTTTAAGCCAAAAATTAAATCAAAAGTAGGATTCTCAATAAAAATAAAATAAAATAAAATAAAGTTGTCACTATTCCAACATGAGAAAGAACCACCAAACTCACACCTAATTCTTAACATTTTTTAAGGATTTAGTCAAGCCGGCCATACCCTAACATTTTTTTTTAAATTTTTTCTAAGTTTCCTATGCTTAATTTATGATCCACATATGATTTGTAATTGTCCATAATTAATAACCGATTTATGATAATCAATCTTTTAAATCAATTTGATACATAATTTTCGTGAAAATTTCAAAAAAAAATTAATTCAACAACTTATTACGAATGTCGGTAATAAATTATTTTCTTTATATCTAATTAAATGTTATGATACGGATATATGATTTGACTCAAAAAAATTGTACATCGAACTGACTACGAAATAGGGTAAACAAGATTTAAATTTTGTTTGTACTTTTTTTTTTCTTCCTTTAGTTTGCTTCCTGTGTGAATATAATGGCTTATATTTGATGGTGGAGTCAATGATTTGGGACAGCTTAATAATTGCCAGCTTCTGAGAATTTTCTTTGTTTGAATGTTGGATGAGTTGTGCGTATAGAGATGTTTTGTAATTACCTTGGTTGTGCCTTAAAACAATGAATTAGACTTATATATATTTTTGAAGTTGTTTTTGTCAGTTTGTGGTAATAACAAAGGAAGCTCATCATGAATTTGGATCCTCTTTGGATCAAGGCAACTATGTTATTGGAAAAATGAATAGTAATAAAAACGAAAATTTCTAAATTGGAAGTTAATGATTTACTTCACAAAAACTTAAGTAGAGGTTTTTTTGATAATATTTGTAAAAATTATAATTAAAATAATTAAATAAAAAATATCAAATTAAGAATAAAAACTAAAAACCGAGTTGATTGAGATTGTTTAAGCAACTAACGTAAATAGAATTTGATAGATAAATCATTAATATAATCTAATCTATGGTACATTGAGATAATTGATACGATAATGTATAGGTTATAAACGAATTAAATGTCGTAAATAAATTTTTTTTTTGTGCCTACGTCAATTTAAACTTGCACGTTCTGTTAAATTACGATTTTATAATGTAGTCGCATTCTTTAATCTAATTGCTGTTTTTGTTTCTGTATTCTTGATTTATTTACAAGAGATCGGTTAATAATTAATAAATGTCGACCACTTTAAAATTTTTAAGAAAAACAATTAAAGAAAAAGAGAGATGAAGAAAAATGAAGTGTGGCTAACTGCCCAGAAGATGACAAGTATTTGTAACCCAACATATACTTCAACTGCATTGACAAGCATTGGACACTGAGAGAGACACTTTCTCAAGACTTGGAATAACCACAAAAGAAAACCAATCAATCTCATGCAATAGTAACTTTGTGCTGAGATGAATGAAAGATCTCCCAACTTAAAACAATTTTGCTTGGTGCTCATTGAAATCCTTGTCCTTTCATAGACCTAATACGAAGAGACCTTCGTTATCTCCCTTTTTAACTTATATTTCCTCTCTTGTTTATAAGAGAGGTTGCAATTGGCGGATCCATCTTTTGTAGGAGAGTGTTCATGGACATCCTTTAGAATTGACAAATAATAAAATTTAAAGAAAAAAGTTTCCTTAGACACCCTTAAATTTTTTTTAGACAACCTTAAAGATTGAAAAACAAAAAAAAAAAATTTGAAGGAAAAATTTGTTCTGGACACCTTTTCCATTGATAATATTAATAAATTTATCGATAATTATATATATATATATATTATAAGTGAATACCTAAAAAATTCTTGAATCGGAATCATACTTAAAATTTTAAGAGTTGAAAATCTAACCCTAACCTTCGTGAATTTATCTTCTAAAAGAGAATTTGGTCTAAACTCCAAGGTCAATTATGAGATAATCATAATCATAATTAAAATTACATCATGTACAAAAAATCAATGAATTAAATCAAATAATAAATCAATTAACGAATCAAAATGTCGAGGATTATATGATTTTAAGCTAATTAATCCAATGCTTTCTTTGCATAATTGGAGCCTGTTCTGTTAGGCACTCCATAATCGCCAGACAATAATGATTTTGGTTGTGAAAGAAAGAAAAAAAGAAAGAATGTGATCCCATTTCAAGAAGAAGCACTGGTGTGTTGCATTGGAACTTTGGTCCCCCACCTTTACTTCCCCCCTCCATATATATATATATATAATTTTTTTTTTCATTATCTTTCTCATTATACATGAGAATTTGATTCTCTCTTTTTTTAAGGGTAATTGTTTACTAGGTTTAACGTCAGAAATTATTCTTGAATTATAACGAAATATTTAAAATTGTATTTAAATTTTAAAAATTTTTAATGTGATACATCAATTATAAATTTATTAATTAATATAATAATTGAAACGTTGTTTATCAAACACATATTACCATTTGGATTTGACGATGTTAAGAGTAAATATTATATTAGTTAATAAATTTATAATTTTAATATTATATTAATGATTTTTAAAATTCAAATATCAAATTAAATATTAATTATAACTCAAATGCCATTTATGATATTAATTTTTATTTTATACACCCATCATAAAAAATTTTAAATTTCAAGAATATATATAACAACATTTTTTTTTTCTAATTCAACCAAGAAACTCAGGCTTTATATGAATGCAACAATTTGAAAATTAGGATTCCATCAAGAAAATGAGAGTCCGAACAGATTCATTTAGAAAAAGTTGAGTATTTTAAGCCAGAAAGTTCTAATTATTATTATTTTTTTGGTTTTATATATCAAAAGACAAGTGATAGAAGTCATGAAGTGATGTCATGAAGAATTTTTAGTTTTAGTCCAACTTGTTAGATGTCCCATCTGTTGGTTCTCTTCATAAATTATATATTTCATCTTCCAAAAAATAAAAATGGTAGGATGTTATATTAATTTGTGCTCAAGCCAATGATCAAGTGATACATCAAGCTAAAAATTTCTGTGCATTAATTCAAGAAAATTTTTTTTGAGAATTGCTCATTGCATGTTGTTATGAAAAATTGTAATAAAAATTTATAACTAAATAGTATCAAAGAGGATTGTGATAAAAGAATGAATCTTATTCCCTTTCCCACTATACAAAATTCATCTCTTTGTTTCCTATGATGTTGATTTGTAGCTCAATCTCTCTTTGACATTGTTTAATAAATTTTTTGTTTTGAAAAAAAATCGAACTTGATTCCTTAAAAAAAATATGTATAAATCTTTAAGTCAAATGTTTGTATTAGAGGTGTTCGTTTGATTAATTTAGTTAATTTTAAACTATTTTGTTTAAAATCTAATTAATCAAATTATATATGTTATTTTATTTTTATTAACTTAACTGAATTTATTTGAAAATCTACCTGACCAAATTTTATTAAGTTAATTTTTAAATTAATCAAATAATAAAATATATTTAAGTTACTTTTAATTTTTTATACTTGAAACAAATTAAATAAAATCATTTAATAAAATATTTAAATAATAAAATATTAAATTAAAAACTTATAAAGTAAAATTATCCATTTTACATATTTTTAGTTTTATCTTTGAGTTTTTTATATTTTGATTAAAATTTTAGTTAATATAATTATTGAACTGAACTAATCAAAAATTAAAATTTTTCTAAAATAATTTTAAATAAATAATTAAAATTAATTTAATAATTGATTAATTAATCAAATTATATTAATTTAATCAATTAATTCAATTAAAGTAAAAATATAAACACTCCTAATTTGCATCTGTAATCTTAAATAATTTAAACCTTAAGCCTAAACTTACAACACAAAGGGTAAAGCTTTTACTTTGTGAAATACAAAATATCCTTCTTTTGCCCTCTTGTTTAACCTTCCCATGTTGAAATTTCATAGATTTTTTTTGTCTGAAATTTTTTGATATTCAGTAGTCATTTTAAATCTCGATTATTCTAGAATCGGGTCGAATCGAATTCCATAAGGGAACAAGTTCTCTTTAAGCTTATTTTCTTCATTCATAAGACTCGAAATCAAAACCTTAAGGGGAACCGAGTTCTTTGTCACTCGGACTAACAAGTATTGGTGAAATTTCATGGATTTGTTAAAGCTAGGGATGAAAAAAAATTGATAAATCTAAAAATTGATTCAAAATCATAATGTTTGATTTAATTCAAATCAATTTTTTTATTTGATTTAGATTAAATATTAAATATTAAATATATATATATATAAAGTTTAGATCGAATTTTCAATCGAAAGGTGAAAAAAAATAAATCGAATCGAATTATATATTTTTTAAATTTTTATGTATTTTTAAATTTTTATAAAATAAAATAATAATTTTATATCAAAATTTACTTAAATATATTAAAATTTATATTAAAATAATTTATAAAAATTAAAAAAATTTAAAATTAACAAATTAAATCAAATCGAATCGAATAAATAAATTTTAACTTGATTTAATTTAAATCAATTATAATTTGATTTAAATTTAAATTGAATTTAAATTTTTATAATATTATATAATATTTTAAAAAATCGAATCAATATCATCCTATCTAGAGGGCACAAGCTTAGTAAACTAACTGGACGAAACTAATGAACCCTGCGCTAAATAAAAGATAACTTAATGAAAGAGCCACGTCCGCTAAATATGCATCCTTAATATGTATGGGAGAGTGTAATACACGACAGTCACAAATTTGTCGTTAGTTTTGGTGGTGGTGGTGTGGGTGCATTGTTGTATTAAAAAAACGTTCCCATCAGCACCAATCCCATCAACGTCTCTGAACACAAGAGTCTATGTAGTCAGGGCTCTGAAGTCAATGCCAAATGCCACATATATTTCATTATTTTATATAAAAAATATTAATTATTTTTATCATTTCTAACACTTTGTAAATAAGTTAACATGAAAGTGATATAATATTAAAATGATAAAAAATAAAATTATAAAATTTAAAATTATAATAAAAATTAAAAAATATATTATATATATTTATTTATTATGTATTTTTTATATAAAATAAATATAATATACATGAATTACTTAATTTACTAATAGATGTCATGGTTGATAATGGCAAAAAAAAAAAAAAAAAATCCATAACCAAGACCATTTCATCTTTTTAATAGTCTCAAGCCAAATTAATTGTTTTATTTTTTTTCTTTAATAAACTAATCCTAAATTCTCTAACCCCCAAAAGAAGCATTGAAGTTCAACAGAGAGAGAAAGCAGTTAAAAAAAACCTTAAAAAAAAAAAAAAAGAGAGAGAGAGAGAGAACTCACTAACATTAATCCCTTGTTCTTGCTACAACACAAGAAAACAAAACAAATAAGCAACCTTCTTCTCCCCTCATCAAACAAGCTTTGTTTTTCACTCATCATCTCTTCTTTCTCCTCCAACCAAATTAACCAGAAAATTTTTGCTATTTTCTCTCCTTTCTCTTTCTCTTAGAGGGTGGGGGTTTGCTAAAGAAATCAGTCACCCATCAATGGAGAATTCAACAAGGTTAGTACAAGAGAACAGGAGCTTCCCATCATCTCCTTTAAACTCCCCACATGGCAATGGAAACAATAGCAGCAGCAGCAGCAATGGGGTTGTCCAAATTCACACCCCACCTCCAACTCCAATTCCTATCTCCAGATCTGAAACCAACCCTTACCCAACAACCTTTGTCCAAGCTGACACAACTACTTTCAAACAGGTTGTCCAAATGCTCACTGGCTCATCAGAAACTGCTAAACAAGCTTCCTCAAAACCTCCAACACAACAACAAAACCAACTTCATCATCATCATCAGCAGCAGCAGCAACAGCGGCAACAGCAGCAACAGGATCCACCATTACCATCAAAAACTTCCTTTCCTATACCTCCCATCAAAACCAACTCTCCAAAAAAACAGAGTTCCAAACTTTACGAGAGAAGAAACAGTAACCTCAAAAGCGGCTTCATGATCAACACTTTTCTTCCTTCTAGTGTTACAAACAACAACACTTCTTTTTCTTCACCAAGGAATACAGAGATCTTGTCTCCAAGCTTGCTTGCCTTCCCAAAGCTAGCTCTTAGCCCAGTTACACCATTAAATGAAGACCCCTTCAACAAATCTTCACCTTCTTTAGGAAATTCATTAGTGGAAGAGAAAGCTATAGCTGGGAAAGGTTTTTACTTGCATCCATCACCTATGTCAACTCCTAGAGACACTGAGCCTCAGCTTTTGCCACTGTTTCCAGTTACTTCACCAAGAGTTTCAGGTTCTTCTTAAGAAGAAGAAGAAGAAGAAGAAGAAGAAGAAGAAGGAGAAGGAGAAGGAGAAGGAGAAGAAGAAGAAGAAAGTGATTATGTAATTTGAGAGTGATTTGTCAAGAGGGTTAATGGGTTTTGGCTGAATTTGAGTGAAAAAAAAGGTAGAAGATCTTTCTTCAATTATGTGATTTGATCTCCTTTTAATTATGGTAAAACTCTTCTTTTCAGCATCTTCTTTCTTCATTTTTCTTGGATTATGGCTTGGCACTTAAATTAAAACTATAAAAACTAGATTAATTCTCCATAGATTATATGAGATAAATTACTACTAATTTTTCTTTAGTTCTTTTCTGTTTTGCAAAATGAACAAGTCAATTTCTTTTCTAGTTTTTTGTCAGGTTGTGTTGGCCAGGAAAGCAAGTCATTCACTTTTATCTTTCCTTTGCATAATTTGACTTTCATGAACTAATCTTTTACTTGTCATTCCTTTTGTTTTTGTGTAAATATAATTCTGATTCCGTTCTATGTACAATCAAAACTATGTCAGCTTGGTAGCTCTTTCTGCTAAAAGGGTATCAGAAATATAAAAAATTCTTGTCTCTTGGTACAACCATTACAGTTGTTGTAATAATGTTTATTTCCTCATAATTGAGTTTGTATATATAGCAAAAGAGAAAGGGGAAGACTTTTTTTTTCCCCCAGAAAAGTGAGGGAGAGGCAGTTGCACAATGAAGACTTTGTGGCTGCATTTAATAATGAACCACCATAGTGTGTTGGAAGGATATCCATTTGAGTCCAATTTACAGGAAATTTTTTGGTGCATTTTAATTTTTTAATAAAAATTTAGAAATTTTGGTTAGTTGTTTTACCATGTATAGAGTGTTTTGTCTTTGTAGCTTGATTCATTTCCTGTAGCCAAACTTAGCAGTTGTTAATAGTAGTTTGACAAACTAGCTTTTCTATCATAAAAATGGCCCATAAAAAAAAAAAAATCAAACAGGATGTGACAATATTGGATCTCCTAATATTTTCACTTTTCTATACCAAAATGTTAAGCATAAGGCAAGTTAAAGAAATATCTTAAAAGAATTAGCGAATTAATTCGAGTGGATCGTATAATTAATTTTAAAAAATAACATTAAGTAAGTTTAAATTTTATTAAAAGAATTAGCGGATTAATTCAAGTGGCTCATATATTGCTATTCAGCTTTATTTTTTGTTTCTTTTTCATGGTTTTTTATTAATTGCTGTCTTCTAAACTAATTTCCTTGACTGAAACCCTTTCTTCTTTCATTGCTTTTCATAACTACCTCCACCAGATTTAGTCTGGTTGATCTGTCTTAGCAATAGTGAAAGTGCGGTTGAGGTATACTATTGTTTTTAGTTATCAAAGGCTAGGCAAGGTTGGTAAGAAACTGTGCAGAAAAGAGATTAGTGACCCACATCTGTTCCTTCTTTCAAGATGGAAGAGCTGTCTTTTGTCATTTAAATTTGATTTAGTATGCAATCATGCAACTTTGGTTATTATTATTTTTTTCGATATTAAAATTTAAAATTTAAATTTGTTGTATATTTTTTTAAAGTTGATTGTGTGAATAATTTTTTTAATGCAGTGTTTTTCTTATTTTAGAGACATTGCTCATCAGAGTTCTTAAGAAATGGGAACACACAAAGCAGCTAAAGTGGAAAAGGAGGTCTTTTTGTTGTGATTGTTATTGAAAATGATGTCAAAAGAAAAACAAACTAAAAAAGATGCTGAGAAAATATGGACTTTTTTTTTCCTTCAAAAGTTTTTAACTTTGTCATTGCTTGAATCCCATCAGCTTTTGCATTACCCAAGTGTTAAGCATTCAATTTAAAGTTGACAATAAAGGAAGGGATCAAATTTGAATATAAAATTATAAAATATTAGATATTTATTAAATATAAAATAATTTATTTTAATAAACCTTCATCACATGTAACGGAGATGAAAAAAGCTTATTATGTGACATATAAAATCATAAGATATTGAATATTTATTAGATATGTGATTATCTATTTTAACAACAAGAAACAGTGATGCAAGTGGGAATAACTTTTGTTTAGCTGTTTCACTTGCTTGGCAAAGGCTAGGCTAGTTTCTGTATTTAGAACTTACATGTTCTGAAGCTAATTTTTCTTTAAAAAGATACATACTTTTCTTATAAAGGAAGTCGTCGTTTAGAAATAAGAGAAAAAAATGATAGATATTAAAATTTAAATTTCGGATTTATTAAATAATAATTTTTAAAAATAATTACATGAATAAAATAAGTTAAATTTCGGATTTTCTTTAAAATAAACTTTGAATATGGGAAAAGTATGCAAAATCAAGCAAATTTTTATGGGATTAATACAGTTTGGAAACTAAGAAACTAAGTCCATCATTGCCAAAATAGAAAAAAATTAAGATCTTTCCTGTTTAAGTTTGTAATGAAAAGAACATTTGTATTGTAATTAAGTAATTAATCAAAAGCTGTTTATCCACTGTAGTTCTTTGTATATATAGTATCTGCATGCATGCAATTTCAACTTCCTCATTAGTCATTGGTAGCCCAGCATTTACTGCTTTTTATTTGCAAAGCTGAATCAAATGCTCATAGAAATTTATACCATTTAAAGCTGTATTAGATGTTAGTTGACCTATTGAAGATTTTGAAATTACTCCATCTTTCTAATCCTCTTTGACTCTCAAGATTTGTTATTGCACTTTTGGTAATTGTTAACAAATTGGTTGAAAGAGAAACAAGAAGGGATGAAATAGTTTCCTTTGATAGGGAGAAAATAAGAGAAAAGATATGGAACGTTTGGCTCAATTGGTTGGCGCATGATCTCTTGCTTAAAGAGCATAACTCGAATCTCTTGTTGAAAAAAAAAAAAAGGAAAATTCAGCAATTTTCATACTTTCACTCTAGTTAAATCCCATCATTGCATAAATGAGGGATAAGTTTTTCATTTTCCTCTCGTTTTCCTCCCCAATGAACAATAGTTTTCCTCTTCCTAGCTCCCCATTTTCCTTTTTCCATTTCTCTCACTCGGTCACTCGTGCAAAACATGAGGTTTGGCATCAGACATCTAGGGTTCATCTTTTTTGCATATTAGCACCAACAACCATTATTCTTTGAGATGTTAAACATCAACTTCATCGCCCATTGCAAGGTTTAACTCGAATACAATGTTTGGTAGACATCAACCCAGATCCTTTATGGTGTGCCACAGGTGACCTGCACTTGGTTTTGGTTGCTACAGAATATGTATCCATACTTGTATCGATAATGGAATGTTTCAGAACTTTTCACGGCGGATATCTGGGATTCATTCTCCGGACCTCTGCAAGTGAACACCAGCCCTCATTCTTTGAAGCATTACACAACCACAGCCTTGTCCCCTGCAAGTTTTAAATGCTATACAATGTTTGGTAGACATCTCCTTAGATTCTTTATGGGGTAACAAATGTGCCCACACTTGAATGCCAATCTACCCGCAAGATAGAAACTAATCTCATTGCCTAATTACTCGAGCAAGCAATGAATTTGCTTAGAATGAAACATAAAACAAAATCGGCAACAACAGATTGATAAAAGGGTTGTAACAAAACCAAGATTTATTGCATCCAAAAGTGATTTATTTTGTGTATAAACTGTTACAGTTGATCTTATTACAGAAGCACAAAACATCTATTAGATATCCAAGAAGGAGTTGATAGTCTTGAATCCATGGTTCTCTGGAAGAGGACCATTTCCTGGCCGGACAGAGATTACCACCTCCAAACCTAAGACATGGATAAAGATGAAAGATATTAATAAACAAAGGATATTTATTTTTTCTAACAGACAGTATGTATCGCCTTAATTTTCTAGTTGGAGTAACACTGAAATCAGAAGCTGATCTACAACTCCACTGAACATTATAGGTACATAATCAATTTACTATTTTTCTTATGGTAACTTGTTGCACATGGAAATGGGGTGATTTTGATTTTCTTTTTTAATAGTATAGCATGTCTAAGGGAGGAAAACAAACAAACAAACCAACAGAAGAGAAAAAGGAAGAAAGAATATGGGAAACGGTATTCACTTATTTAACAAAATAAGTTTATGACACAAGCCAGGAATCAATGGGTTAGAATATGGACACAGGAGTAGTAAAAGGTAGAACCAATGATTTATGCTATCTTGCAGTCACCGTTAAAATAAAAACTGAGCAGTACAATACCTGCAGCTTTTGCAGCTGTGGCTTCTTGATACAAATCAGTCACAAACAGTATCTCAGATGGCTTATTAACTCCCAATGACTCAGTGATTTCAACATAACTGTGAGTTTCTCTTTTGTTCCTGCAAGCAATGAAGGAAAACATAGTGTCAACTTGAATTAAAGTGTCAAGTACAGAATCAATTGTGAAAGTAATAAACTTACCCCACTGTGGCGTCGAAAAATCCTGACAAATACTTTCTCAAATCGCCAAAGTTTGAATTTCCAAATAAAAGCCTCTGAGCCAACCTGCTACCACTAGAATATATGTATACCTGTGGTGATATGAGGAAGGCGGTGATTAACATTGAAAATTGACCTTTCTGTAAATAAAAATAAGAGAGTACTGATCCTTTTGGAATGGAAGGGTGAGGGAGATAGAGAGAGAGATTTAAAAGGTTAAACACTCTTTAAACGCAAGCCAATGATATGCTTCAGTTTTTCCTTGTGGATATGTATCTCCTCTGAGAAATAGGAGAAAATATCAAGTGCTATGCTAATAAATGATACAACTTTAAGACCATTCAGTAGGATATAAACAAACATGAACTTGAGCTTAGGTCTAGATCAGGTGCAAGTGGACACCTATCTACTAAGAAAATTGGCTTTAGTTTGGCAGGATGATTAAAATAGCTTATGACTATACAGCATTCTGGATCAAATGCATTAAAACATACTCAAAACATAGGCAAATGTAATATCCAGAACCACATTCAGAAAGAAAAAATGTAGAAGAATAAAGTGAAGAATAAAAGGAAAAATGAAAGATACCTTTATACACAAAGCATGCCACTTTTCAAGAGCTTCTGGTACATCATCAAAAACTACTCCTTCCAGCTCATTGTTCTCAAATCCAGTTCGCCATATATGACCCTATTTAGCTTCATATATTAGACCTACCCTCAAGGTAAGCTCCACAAATTTGTTTCTTTGAATTCATATTTGCTTACTTGCAATTGCTTTAAGGCAGTGATTTTTCGATCAGCTTTTATCATTGCTTCCACATTAGCAACCAAAGCTGCAATCACCTCCTCTTTTCCCGCATCCTTGGAGGGGATAGGTACAGTGCCAATAACTCCTTGCTTCAAGTCGTCTTGAACCTGCGGAAAACATGTTATGGATTCAATATAGACATATCATTTAGGAGTCAATTTGGACTTGGTTGCTAATTAGTAAGAACAATATCCCACTGCCTTAACTACAGAAAAAGAGGTGAAGTATTCTTTGATTGCCTATCTCTATTTTTACTGCTCTAATTTTAATCAAGAATATGTAAAGTAAGACAAAAGCAACTTTCATTCTAACTTATTCTAACACATATGCTATATCAAGGACTTGAGTAAAGGTGCTAAGTGCACGTCCATCCACATGTTAGAGTTACCCATTATTGAACATTTTCTTAAGGTATCCAATATGCATGCCTCAATCCATGTCAAGTGAAAACAGATATTCCAGAAAAAGCCAAGGCTTCACAGTTCAAATATTATGAAAACAGTATGTGGATGTGCTCAAGAGCATCAGTACGAGGTTCACAAGTGCGGAGTAATCAATTACAGTTCAATCCTAGAGCTTAACCAAGCAAGCATATCAGTAAGAAGCATGTATCAAAAGTGGTGATTCCAGTGAATCATTCATGCAAGTCTCAATTCCCTAACTTCCAGTGCTCAACAAAAGGAGTAAATTTTCTCATTTGGCAATCAATTATGGCCTCACTCTTAAAATTAATTCTTTCCTCTAAAATATTTAAAAGTAATTGCCTCAAGAAAGCAAAGCAAAAAGTTTGTAATATGATGCCAGCAGAGCACGATAAAAGGTTCAAAGGTCCAAAAAAATCTTACTTGAGAACGTAACAACTTAATATCATCTTGGGTTTCAGCACTAGCATATGTTGCAGACAAATGCCTCCCAACATTGTTTCGGGTATAGGGAAAGAGTACATCTGCTACAAATGAAATAGGAGTTGTAGTCCCTTCAATGTCAAGCACAATGCAACGCTGCAACATAATAAATTGTAAAGTGAGAGTGAATTTCTTACAATGGAATGTACCAATCTTGTTTAGAAATAAAACAGTCAGAGCCTACCAAAATGTCATTTGCCTATTCATATTAAAGACACAGTACATGCATATGAAGATTGTTGTTCGAAGGGAAATGCTATCGTGTCCAAACCCTGAACTTATACAATTGAAGGGAAAACATGTAAATTTCTTACTGGAAATGGCTGGATTTTATAATTTGAATCCACTGTACTGGCCTTCGCAGACACATTGATCCTGCCATTGACACCTGAAACTCCTTTAACATTCTGAATGGGGCCATGATCTGGTGTAGACCAGTCTAAGCCCAGCTGCTGAAGTTTAATAGCAGCATCAAAGAGGTAATGGTAGCATTCAGCCTGAAATAGTATGTCACTGCCGATGTAAGAAACACAATATGAACACACAACATGTAAGAGCCTCTTATCATACTAGGGAGGTGCATCAACTTATAATAAAGTTTTTTATTATTATTCTTTTCATGTTCTGATTCACAACTATAAGAAATTTATACTGTACAATGAATCATGATAAGTTAACAATAGCAAACTTTTGGCATCTGCAAGCAACAGTAAAGCCATGAGATAGAGAAACTCGAGATACACATTCTGAAAATTTCACCAGTTTGAATTCAAAAATTTACTTAAGTTTCATAAACCTGAGTTTTAGCACTGATCCATGAGTCTCCCCATACATATATGCCATGATTCCGAACAAGCACAGCAGTTGTTTTCGGATAGGCTTCAATCTGAAAAACATTAAAGTGAAGTTCAATTGAGTGAAGGCAATACCATACATTGATAAATTCAACTGCAATGAATGGCTTAACAAAAACAGAATGAATTTCTACTGAACTTCAATGGAGTGAAGACAATATGTTCCCATCACCCAGAACATGGAGTGATTTGTTTAGCCTTTCAGAGTCATTTAGGGTTGTCTAACCATAGAAGGGGATTCTTAGTGATAGGTACTTGACATACTTCTGATCAATAATAGATATGCTCATATTTCCCCTCAATAGGTCTCATCAATAATAAAGTATCCTTTTTTTACCCCAGAAGGTCTTGTCAATAAGTAAAGTTACATAAGAATTTAAGAGTCAAGAAAGGTTGTGGGTAAAGGTCATAGCTACTTATTCATCAAGAGACTGGTTAAGCAAAGTGGCACCAGGAAATAGAGACATATACTCATTGTTGATATAGAATTAATATTCATTAATCTTATTCAGCTATATGAACATTTTATGATCATCATGAAAGCCAATCTCATAATCTCTATTGATGAGACGAACACAAAAGACACATACAGCTTTGGCAAGAGAATCTGTGAGCTCGCTTTCATAGGCAGTGTTCTCGATTATTGGGATCACAAGTTCATCATAGTAACCATGTCCTTGAATACCTTTTATCATTTCCATATGAGTTATCTGCAAATGTCCAAAAGAAAAAAAAGTAAATCAGTCACTGACAGACAGAGAACACAGATATGTAGCAGTGAAGAAAGAAATTAAAAGCGAGAGAAAGAGAGAGAAGCATACTTTAGAATGATATATCACAGTCAACAAGAACTTACCCGAAACTCTTTTGAAAGTGGATTGATCATTGTTACAAGACAACATTCCATTCCATGAGTGTGGATAACAGCTCCAGCATTACGCATATGATATGCCTGAATTACAAGAGAAAAAGAACATTTATAGATAAATACAGAACCCAAAACATATAAAGGGAAAAGGGGGCATTGTGGTAAGGACTGATTCAGTTACAACTTTCTTAGATAATTTATCAACAAAATCCTCACAGATTAAACATTTACAACAAGAAGGCAAATAGCAGTACTAATTTGATTGTTTAACTAAACCAAGTAATCTGCAACTAAACCTTTGGGTAAATGAATTAATAAGAGCCTAAGTAGTTAATAAGTTGTATTCCAGGTGGGTAAAACAAGATTATGCCACAAGTTTTAAGAATGTAATAGTTGAAGTAACAATTAGGATCTACTTTCACCAATGTAATTTTTGACAATTTAGCTGCAAACAATTGTAAGAATATACATCATTCTTGGGTTTCCATTTTGCATGCATAACTTAACTTCAAACCCTCCAATAATAGTGCAAGTTCAGATGGGATCAAGAGCACCTAAACCAGATGAGAACCAAATCTGCTGGTTATCGATTCATAACTGGGATCTTTAATCTACTTTTAAACCAAAGAAAACAACACTTGACTATGCTCTGATTCCAGTCAAATAGTCAGCAATCAGATATCCTAAGGGTGCATGCTTTACTCAGCATCAAATGTAGGAAAACACCATTAAAATCATAGTTTTTGATCTTACATTCACTACCTTTGGGAACTGTTAAGAAGTTTCTCAACTATTCTTTTTTGGTTTCTCTCTCTATCTGGCTTGATGGGTGGGAGAAGACGTGGTTTACAAGTCAAACCAATAATAGGAAACATTTTTAATTTGAGGTCGTCCTTCTTTCTTTTGCTTTGTTTTCTCAGCAATCAATGGAAGCAACTAAAGTTACAGTAGAAGAAGCACCAAGTTATCAACACCATAAGTGCTCATTTTCTCATAAAAACTTATTAGATAAAAGATCAAGCTAAAACCAAATATGATGCTTAAAAGTAAAACATATTGAAAAAGCCTGCTATCCTAACAAATATTACAATATCAACAAATAGGATCAAAATCAACCTCGTAAACTATATCATGGAATTACCAAAGTTTAATAAAAAACACTCAGTAAAATAAACTGTTAGATTGATTAAACAATGTGAAACAATAGTTATTTAAATGCAAATATAATAGTTACCTTCATGAAAAGAGGAGCACAATCAGAGCACTTTGGAGGCTTATGAGGGTATGGCTTTGGAGAAGGTGAAGATATTATAGACCCATCTCCTGATAATATATACATGTCTTCTGGTTCCATTCTCTCCTTTTGAACACCTATCAAAGTACCAAGTCACAAGCCCATAATTAAGCTATACCAGAAGAGATATAAACAGTAACTCTTAAACAATATCTTCGTGTAATCAGAACAATGCAAACAAATAAGCAAACATGCAATTGAAGATGAATGACAATATACAGAATGTAACAATAGGCAAGTTCTATCCATAGCCCACATATCAAACATCCTAGAATAATAAAAAAAGTAATTCATGCTTGAATAACTAAAACCCAAAAGCCAAAGTCTATAGGAAAACAAATATGTGATCTAAAACAGCAACAACTAAGATATCAAACACCCTAGATTAATACGAAAAAACACAAATTTGTACACAGCCTATACATCAAACATTCCGGATTACTACACAAAGACTGGCTTGAGACTGAATATGAAATGCTCATAAGCCAAAATAACCGTGAAAAAAACAAATATTTAGCTGAAACAATAAGAACCTATATTATCAAACATCCCAAATTAGTCATAAGAAAACACAACTTTGAGCATGAATAACAAAACCGAGAAACCGAAAAGTTAAAAATAAATAAATCAGATAACATAACAGCAACCCAAGATCAACATCCTAAATTGATCATTAAAGAAAACAGAACTTTGATCTTCAATAACAAATAGCCAGGAGACAAAAAGTAAAGGAAAACCAATAATTGAGCTATAATAACAACGATCCAGATATTCAATAACAAACACCCCAAATTAATCATAAAAAAGATTAAAAAGCATAGCTTTGAGCTTCAATACCAATATTCAAAAGCCAAACAAACCCCATAAGATGATTGATTGAGAAATAGTTACCAGAAGGGGACATGAGGATGAGCTGCTGAGGTTTAGGGATAGAACTATCATGGACCTTCACGGTGATGCTGCCACCTGTTCCAGAGACCCATCCAAGGTTATAGAACTGGCGGCAAAGCTCAGATATCAAAGACTTTGTCTCCTGCACCGCTTTGCTCTCTAAATAAGCTTGTGATACACTCCCCATGTTCAAGCCCTCGTTTACTGCCGCTGCTGTTGGTACAGCCACTGCGAAAACAAAGGCTCTCTTTCTATACAGCTAGAGCCTAGGAGAAAAAGGAGAATCTTTGGTAAAAAAAAAAAAAAAAAGCAGAGTTTTGCGAAGGTCTTTACAGAGTAAAGCTTTGGTCATTTACTTTTGTTTTATTATCTTCAATCTCTGTTCAGAGGTGGGACAAGACAATTTTCTGCTGAACATTGTTTGATTTGATTTGTTTAAGGTAGCGTAAATGTACCTAGGCGCTGGGGCCAGAACCGTAGATCAGATTTTACTTTATCAAATTGGTTTGCTGCTTGGACATTTGCTGTACTTCATACATACCAAACAAAATTTATTCCTTCGACCAAAAAAACAACTAAATTTATTTGTTTATATAGTAAAAAAAAATATATATTTTTAATACAGTTAAGGGTGTTTTCTAATTCCGTTCATCGACATCTTCGAGTTTTAAGAGTCTTGATTCTCTTTCCCGAAATTCTAAAGATGCAACTGATCGAACTATTTTACCTTATTTCATGATGCAAGCATTTCACTCCTTGACAGCAGGAACTTAAGACTCGGCTAACGTTTTACGTGATGATGCCTCTATTTAAGCATCAAAACAAGAGTTACAGGAGACGAAGTAAGAGAACAGATTGAATTAAAAATATTTATCAAGTTTCTTTTCTTATTTATACCTTCGAGGGTGACTAATGGCGGCCCTTGAGCTTTCACTTGACCAAATGGGGAAGTGAGTTAAGATTTGAGCATGTTTTCTTGGGAGAAAGGGGGATGTGGTTGGCTTGCAGGTCAAATTAAATGAATGTTTGAGTTGTATCGGGAATTAATGAGTACTTTGCAAAAGGCATGTTTCATGAGGATTAATTTTGTTGCCTTATTAAACAAATGAAAAACCCAACCCACACTCATTTGGTCCAAAAGTAGTAGCTATAGTGGGTTTTACTCCTAAAACCCAAATCAAATAGACATCTTTTTCTTATATCAAAACCTAAGATCTTTATTATTAATTTTACAAGAATTGCTAAGTTGTTTTATCCATGTTATTCAATCTTTTTTTTCTCGATTTATATTTCTACTTTGCGTTTTGGTCCACGTTATTCATCTTTTTATTTCTTTTCATTTTATTTCTCACTTTGACAGTTACCACGTCATTAGCTCTTTTTTTTTTTCGTTTTGTTTTTCACTAGTATGACAAATTATAATAGATTTAAGAGATTTTTATCTTTCTCTTACCTCATTTGAAAAAACCGAAAAGATTGAGCAAGTGAAACCCTGTAAAATAGGTAAGAAAGAACATTTGATTGAAGAAAATGTCAAAGGAAAAAGAGAAAGAAGGATCAAGAAGCAAGAAAAAAATTCATCCATAAAATAAATTTTTACAAATGTACAAACAATAAAACTTTTCATTAGGAGTGTCATAGTGGTTGTTTCATGATTTTTCTTTCTTTTTTGGTTTTAGGTTTTTTTTTTTTCTTTCTAAAAATATCTGAGAAAAAAAGAAGGGTAATTATTCATTGATTTAAGAATGAGAGAGGGATAAGTGAAAAGTTTCTGACATAAAAAATTAACAAAAAAAATCATGTTTTGACCTAAACAAAACATAGTTGAAAAACTAACAAAATTATAGTCTTTCTTTCGATACATAATTTTTGAATACAATCAAATGTATAAAAAACATGACTCTTCATTAGGTGTTACGTAACTATTCCATAGTTCTCCTTTCTTTGTTGGTTTTTTTTTTTTAATATCTGAGAAAAATAGAGGGTAGCTGTTCTTGATTTATGAGAGAGAGGTAGGTGAAAGCTTTTTGACATAAATAGTTAAAAAAACTATATTTTAACATAGAAAAACGTAATTGAAAAGCTAATAAAAAATATTATTTTTTTTTAATATGTAGTTTTTGAATACAATAAAAAAAAAATCCTAAAACCATGTAGTGATCTTTAAAAGTCAAAGCATATAGTCAGCCCCACTATAGTTTTTTTTTTATACGTAATTTTTGAATACAATACAAAAAATTCAAAAACCACATTTCTTATATAAAAACATGATTTTTGAAAAGTCAAAGCTTTTTTTTTGTCAGCTCCACTTTAAAATTTATGTTACGTAGGATACCTAGTTTTTGAATATAATCTAAAAAAATTCCAAAAACCATGTTTTTTATATTGAAACATAATTTTTGAAAAGTAAAAGCTAGTATTTGTCAGCCCCACTTTGAACATTATATTAATGTCATGAGCTTTGATATTACCTAAGTTCAAAACAAATAAAAAGTAAAAGAATTAAATACTAAAATAAGGAAAAAAATATTAAGCTAGGTAGCTGTTTCATGGTTATCCCTTCTGTTTTGCTTTTTGGTTTTTTTTTTTTTTAAATTTGAGAAAAAGAGAGAGGTAGATATTACTTGATTTAACCAAGTTAAGAATGAAACAAGGGTAGGTGAAAGGTTTCTGACATGAAAAATTAACAAATATCACGTTTTGACATAAAAATAAAGTAGTTGAAAAGCTAACAAAGACTATAGTCTTTCTTTGGATACTTAGTTTTTGAATATAATCCACAAAATTAAAAAACCACGTTTCTTTAGAAATGTGATATTTTGAAAAGCCAAAACTGTATTTGTTAGGGCCCATTTTAAATGTTATATTGCTTCCATAAGTGAGATGACACAGGGTTCAAAACAAACCAAAAAAATAAGAAAATTAAATACCAAAATAAGGGAAAAAAGATTATGGGGCTCAAAAAAAAAAGAAGAGAGAATTAAATTCCAAAATAAGGAAAAAAAGATTAAGCAATAATGTCATGGAAGAAAATCTTAATTTCTTGGAATTTTGGTCCATTTATTATTTTATGGTTCATTTATTATTATATTATAATTTAATACTAAATTTAACCTATTGTTTTTTTATTAAATTTTTTCTTTATATTTAATTTTGTTTATTTTTTAAAAAATAGTAAAATTTAAGTATTTTAGTAAAGTAACTGTTTTAAGTATGTGGGAAAGGTTTTTGAAATGAAAAGTTAACAAAAGCCATGTTTTGACCTAAAAAAAACTTAGTTGAAAAGCTAATAAAGACTATAATATTTCTTTGGATACTTAGTTTTTAAATATAGTTTAAAAAATTCAAAAACCATGTTTCTTATATAGAAAGGTAATTTTTGAAAAGTCAAATTATGTATTTGTTAGCCTTACTTTGAATGTTATATTATTCATATTATTAATTTTACTAATTATGATTTATCGTTGACTTCACCTTAGCCTATCCACTTGTCATCCAAGGTTTTTTTTTTTCCTTTTTCCCTTTTCTTTTTTACTTGAATTTGCTTTTCTTCACCTCACCCATATCTTTACATAACATAGGACAAAATAAATCATATTTTCTTCATATAACAAAGGACAAAAGAAAAGCTAGGGAGAAAGGGCATGTGTGATTCATTTTTTTATTTGAAAAAAATTAATAAATCTTCTCTTGGTTTGAAAAAAAAAATAATGGGATGGGTATGTGAGAGCTCTTTTATTTTTCTTTGTTTTGATCCATCGCTGTTTTGCTTTTTGTTTCTATTTTATGTTCTTTGTTTTCTTTATGAATTTTTTCTAAAGTGCAACAATTTAGTTTTCTTTTAATTTTTTAAAGTTTTATTTGTTATTGGGTAATTTGTTTCCATATTTTCTTTCTTTAATATTCCTAATAATTTTCTTATTTTATAAGTGGATCGATCAAGGATTTGGAAAAGAATTTGGATCCTTTTTTAAGAACTGCTGCTTTGCCTATTCATTTCCTTTTTCGATGAATCCTTTAATGGTACAAACAATTCGCTTCTCACGTTAGGAATATTTTATTCGTTTCTTTTCCTTCACTTTCATGCTATTATTATTATATTAATTTGTCAATTTCAAAGGGTGATGAACTAAGCTTTTTCATATTGATATTCTCAGTTTTATTTGAAATGAAAAAAGTTTTTTTTTAATTAAAAAATAAATTATGGTTTTTTTTATTCTATTTGCAAATTGCAATGCAAGTATAGTCTTAAAATGGAACAATGTTTTTTAAGCAATAAAAATTGACCCAAAATGAAATGAAAAATATTTTGGTTTGCAAATTTTAAAATAAGTTTGCATCTTGGATTTTGATTTTGATTTTGCAGTAATAGTAGTAAAATTAAGAATGTTATGTTATCATTTGGATCAACAAAAGTGAGAGTGGGAAATAGAGGCATTGATGATTCATTTTGTTTCATTGATGGAGGAAAGCATGACTATGACTGGCAGAAAATCATTACTGTTATAAGTAATTTTAATAATTATTACTATTTCAATATATAAAATTCTAAGTATTTTAATTTTTTACCTTAAATACAAGATTTTAAACTCAATTTTTTTGTTTTAATTATTTTACTTCTTAAACAGCTTTTTAACTTTTTGTTAAAGGATTAAATGTGAAATTTTCTTATTAAATTAATAGGGTTAAGTAAAGATTTTACTTTAGTTCTATTTCAGTTTGAATTTGTTAATGTAAGCTTGATGGTAAAGTTTTAATTAGATTCATTTATGATTCATTTCATGTTTTTAATAGCATCCAAATAGATGTATTTCTTGATTGAAATATTAATTTTTTATTTTTGCTTGAATTTAAGTTTGTAGCCACTTCACTTGTTGATTATTTTTCTTGCGATATGTTATCCTTTCTTTGTTTTCTTTCTTTTAAATTCTTATATTTTGTTTATTACATTTATTTGATTGTTTAATTTGAAGTTAAAAATTAATTTTTTTTGTGAACCCATGAAAATGGTGATAACGTTACTTGGTTGTTTGGTTTGATCTTTATATTTTTTTGATACAAGGAATTGATTTTTGTCTGTCATGTGTTTTTTCTTAAGTTATTTATTTAGTATTTTTTTTGTTTAGTAAACTAATTCTTTGTTTGTTTACTTTTTCAAGTTATTCTCAATTTGGTAAATTATTTTGGGTGTGGGTAATTTTTTTTTTCTTTATGGATATCTTGGAATTTTTTTATTAAGGTTTTATTGATTTTTCAAAACACTTTAAATGCATCTAAAGCTATTTTGGTTTTTTAAAATTTTTTCCTTTACACTTTGAGGGTTGGATTTGTTTGAATTTATAGTGTTGCATTTTAAGATAGTTAATTTTTTTTTTGCCTTATGAAAATTCAATCTATATTCATATGGTAGTTATGGATTAATCTTTTATTATATTGATAGTGAAATTTTTTTACTAATATATATATTGACTTTATTAAATTTTATTCTTTTTTTCACTAGCAAGTTTGCTATGCATTGTTGACTTTTAGAGCTCTTTAAATGTAGCTGAAGCTATTTTGATTTTTATATTTTCTTTATGCTTTGAAAGTTTGATTTGTTTAAATCTTCCAGTGTTGCTTTTTTTTTTTTAAATTAAAATATTTTATCTTATGTAATTCAATCAATATTTATATGATAGGTATGATTAATCTTTTACGATGTTGATAGTGTAGAATTTGTTTCATTTCATTAAATTTTGTTTTTCTTCTCACTAGCAAATCTGCTATACATATTGCAATTATTCTAATATAGGTAATTATAAGAAATTTATATTTTATTTTTGTTATTATTTAATTGATGTTTGTGGATGTTTATTCTAAACTATAAATTTATTAATGTTACTACTTTTAAGACATAGATAATCAAGTGGCCTTAATTAATTTTTTTAGTTTTAATTTTGTTGATTATTATCATGTAGCTTTTTTTGCAGGGATATTTGTTTGAGTTTGAAGATCCATTGAATTTTTTTTGTGAGCCATTTCTTTTTCTACAGTTAGTTGTCTTTGAAAT